GAACTTGAGAACTTGCAGTACAGAACAGACTCGCAGTGTGAAGCTTTCATTATAATATATATAATATAATCAAAGGTGTGAAGTGCCAAGTGCCAACTGTCAAAGGGAATTCAATAGCAGCATTCAAAAGTCCCTAGATTTTAACATAATTTTGACATAATTCGTGCACAAAGTTGAATTTATTTCAACTTTGTGTACGCACACAAGGATTACATAAAACGTTCATAAGCATAAGAATTACGTTCGTCCACTGTGAACAGGGGTACACGTTTTCCATCGTTTCAACTTTATGTATTTATGTAAGCTTTATGTACTTGTTATGCCTTATGTCCATTGTGAATGGGCAGTAACAGACACAAAACACTTATTAGAGCCGGCGTCAGAGCGAAAGGTGACAGGGGCGGGGCTTAAGTTGCGCGACTTGTAGTCGGACCAGCAGTGGCGTAACATCGATGTATTGAGAAGGGGGGTATGACTGCGTTATATTTCTATTAAAAACAATAAAAAAAGGCAACATGTACAAAATATTACAGTACAACCTCGATTATCCGGGCCGACCGGGACCAGATGTTTGCCGGATAATTGAAACGAACGGTTAATCAAAATTATTTATTTATTTAGGGAAATACATATGTACGGTTAAATTAAACATGTTTTACAAAAAAAGCTGTCAATTTGGTTTGTTTTTTAGTTTTTAATTGTTTCTGTCTAATGAACGACTTATTTTTTGTAAGTTTAAAATGGTAAAGTCATCAATATATTGCTTTTCAAAATAATCAAAGTATTACAAGCTTCCAGTGCTTGTCGATTTGTAATCTTATTGGAAGTGTGTTCTTCAAAGATATCATCTTTTTCATCTGACTCTTCTTTGTTTTTTTCGTGATCTTCACCTGACTCTTCTTTGTTTTTTTCAGATTGTGCAATTATTTCTTCTTCAGTAAAAGTTTCAGTCCCGTGTTCTTGAAAATCGCACTGAATCCAATTGTCAATTACTTCAGCATCGACACCATCCAATGTTGAAATTTCGGAGGCAATGTTTGCTATGGCATTTGTAGTAACTTCACTCTCTACTATCGTTTCGTTCATATCTGGTACATCTTCTAATGTTAAAATTTTTAAAAATGCTCGCTTTATTGTGACATCTTTTACACAACTCCAAGCCTCAGCAATGCCATAAATCGCGTCCTTAATATTTAGATTTTTCCAAAACGTCATTGGGTCAGCGTCTTCTTGTAATAAGTCCATCATTATCTTTTTTCTGTAATATCTTTTCATATTCTCGATCACTCCTTGATCCATTGGTTGGCCAATAGATGTAACATTTGGAGGAAAGAACGCTGCAGTAATATTTCCATCTTCCGATTTCAATACTGTCTCGTCCATATGTACAGTCGCGTTGTCAAGAAGTAACAGAGCTTTTGGTGGCAATTTATTAACTTCAAGAAATTTTCTGACTTGAGGGATAAATTTTTTAAAAAACCATTCTCTGAAAATATCTCGTGTCATCCAACACGATTTTTGATTATAGTAATCCACGGGTAGATTATTTCTGTTAATGTTCTTAAAGGCACGTGGATTTTTTGACTTTCCAATCACAGTCAGTCGTAGTTTATGTCGTCCAGTAGCATTGGCACAACAAAGTATGGTAACTCTGTCTTTATTGGTTTTAAAACCTGAAGCACATTTTTTAGATTCGTGAGCTAAAGTTTTAGTGGGCATTGTTTTCCAAAATAAACCTGTTTCGTCGGCATTATATACTTGATCCAATTTTAAATCACGTTCCAGGATAATATTTTCAAGCTCATAACAAAACTCAGTTAGAGCTACCTCGTCTGCACTCAGTTTCTCGCCTTCTATGGATAGCTCTCTTATTCCATGTCGTTTTTTAAATCGATATAGCCATCCATTTGAAGCCTTAAAATTTTCTCCAGGATTCAGTTTTTCGTGAAATAGTTGAGCTTGACGTAAGCACATTGGTCTCGAAATTGGCGTACCTTCGGCTCGTTTTTGTAGAAACCATTTAATCATTGCTTGTTCCAGTTCTTCAAACGTGGAAGCCTTCATTGTTTTTCGTTGGGAAACCACTTGCGTACTATCGGCTTGTAATAAAAAAGCCTGTGGATTTGTTTTGTTCTTGACAATATCGCGAACTGTTTGACGCCCTATTCCAAATCGTCTAGCTAGAGCTGCCACATTTTCTCCTAGATAAAACGTTTGTTTCAAAATTTAGATTTAATTATATATTCGACGAATATCTACCTGACTCATTTTGTTTGATAATCTCAATTTTTTGTTCAATGGTTAGAACTGTACGCTTTCGTTTAGCAGAACCACTTGCACCTGGCTGATCCATAATTACTATATAAGTGTTCGATATTGAGTGAATATATTACGCTTTTACACCACAAAGTTTAAAACAGACTAAATAAATGTTAAATTAGTCAGCTCATTAATAAAAAACGCTGTGGTAGCTATTATGATTTCAGTTTCATGCTTGTACCACAACGCTGTTATAGGTGGGTAACATAATATTTTGTTTTACAAATCACATTTTAGCTGAGTTGTCGGCATGCTTGCATTTCGTGTTCGGCACGGATAATCGAGGTTATCTACTGGCACGGATAATCGAGGTTATCTACTGGCACGGATATTCCACCGCTCGGTTAATGCGCACCCGGATAATCGGGGTTCTACTGTATATTTTATTAATGCCAACAATACTATTTCAAACTCAAAATATTTTTAATGTCCCTCGGATTATATCGTGCGTGTTTTTAAATTTTAATCGCCGCCGTGACTGTTTCCACGATATTTGTAAGACCGAACCAAAACTGTGTTCTGCGCACTCCCACCTGCTGTCACCTTTCGCGTTGGAAGCTACTCGAACTCAGCAACATTTCATTTGACATTTGACAATTCACAATTCACTAGGTGTTTGTGGTATCGCCATTGCCTTCAGCATGACCTTCGACTTCGCCGTGTCGAAAGTACCAGCTGGCGCAACCAACGACGCAACTATAATAATTTTAATTGTTAGGCGAATAAAAACTAAAAATAATAAAGTCGTGTCAAAGTCACTAAAAGTCTCCAAATGGATACCAGAAATCGCTAAATTTGAGACATGTCTCAAATTCATTTTCAAAGTCGCCGGTCGCCTCTGAAAATCACTAAATCTAGCTACAAAATCGCTTGGTTGGCAACACTGAGCTCGATTGTCTCAGATACAGATAAAGCAACGATATTTCGTACAACCACTCTGTTGTCCCAACAAAACATTAACCAGGTGCAAGTCGACACAGATCACCCAATTATGTCAAGAACGGAAATCTCATATTCTTCTTTCATATATGTGGAGTTAGTAATTGGAATAGAAGCATGTTTATAGCCATTATGTAAAAGGACTGCCTTGAGACTTATTTTACTATTGTCAATAAAGAAACCCCAACCACTTGCCATGTAGGTCTTTAAGCCAATGAATACAACAAGCTGCTCACATCACTACAATATACAAAACTTTCGTTAGAAGAAAAAAATTGTAAAGAGTTTTTTCTCTCGTGCGATATGAAGTATAATAATTAACCCTTTCAGCCCTGAGTTTATTTACTTTCTATTAAAATTAAACGCTATGCATATTTGGGACTATCTTCATATCCTTACCACAAATTATTTTTTTTAGAATTTTCCAGGCGCCCATAAGCCCTCTAGGAAGCTGTGGCATTTGCCACCACTAGGTTCTAAAAGATGAAAAAGTACTACAACTATTGCATATTGATTATGATTTATTTTACATGAAAATTCTTAAAACAATTATTATTTTTATTGAAACACAAGAAAACTTTGCATTTTTCGCACTGCGTGCGAGATCTGCCCTTACACGTTTCAAGTTTACATCTTTGCTCGTGGCCCTCAACATAAATTGGCCAATGAGCAAGATTATCGAAACGTACATCTTCAACCGGTGTACATTGTTTTTGCCTTTTGGGACTTTCAGCTGAGGATGCGAGTGGAGATGCAGAACGTGATCGGGGTCTACCTACTTTTGGAGTTCTCACTAATGCCTTTGAAAAAGCCAAAGCTTCAGCAACATCGAACGTAAATTGCAATAAATCTTTTTGTTTTGTTGAACCAGATTCTTTACTTGCATCTCTTCGGTATTCCAGCCATGAATTGCAAACGGCGATGTTGAAGTAGTGGAAGATTATGCGGAGGGTCCACTTTTTGGAACGAATGAAGGTGCGATACAGAGCCACCAAAAAATCGCTTTTATCTACTCCCCCCATGCTTTTATTATACAGTCTAATAATTGTTGGTCTTTCAATAAAAAGTGGCGTTCTTTGTTTTTTATCTGGCGTGGAAGTGCTGTTATCATCATCGTTTTCTGGGATAAAACTTGTATTGGGTGCTACAAATTTTTTTTTCCTCCAAGCGATTGTAGTTTTCTTCTTTTGGCGCTTGGAAGTACTGGCAACCGGCTCTTCATCTGATGTCTCTTCATTATTGTCAGAGTTGGCATGTTCATTGAACAGTTATCTTGATCATCATTGTTGTCTTGATTATCGTCGGATTGATCATAGCCTTCTTCAGTTTCCTCTTCGTCGTCTTCAATTTCTGAGTTATCATCTTGCAGAGCCGATATTGCTTGGTTTGCGCTTTGTAATGAAATTTGCATTCTCTTCTGCCCATAAAAGCGAATCGATGGTATTTCATTTTCTATGTAGAAAAAGAAATAATAAAAACGCGTATTCTACAATTGTATAACTTTTACTGCAATGTACACCTATTGGTGGCAATTGCGTACACATTTTTTTACAAGAATCTGTAAATTATAGAAATAAAATAAAACAGAAAAAAACGAGCTAGACACATTCCCCATTATTTATACAAAGCAGTAATATTAATTGTTAAAACTTTTATTGTGCTATTTTATTACAATAAATAAATAAAATAACACTTACCAGGCAACATATTTTTCTTAATTGACGCCATATTTTAACCACGACCTTCTCTATTAACTACGGCCTGCTCAATCGTCTAGTTTTCGTGTTCTCCGCGTAGAGCCACTTACCCGTTAAACGCCAAAAAAGACACCTGCCTACTACTAGATAATTTTCAAAAATTGTGACAGGAGTATTTGTCATTCCTCAACGTGTCTCTTGTGTCTAATCTGTTTTAGTTTATTTGTGGCTTAAATAGATCCGAGATTTACAATCGCCGTTTCGTTTTGTTTTTGTTTACGTTTGTTTTAGTGCTTTGTGTTGTGTTTCGCATTTTAAAATGCCTTATTCGTTTTGTTGTGTTCCGTCGTGTTTCTCCACAGATCCTTCAAGATCCTTTCATGAGTTTCCCTCTAATTTTAAGCTAAGACAAGTATGGTTGGGAAAAATATATCCTAATACCGGTAAATCTTCAATAAATATTTTTATTAAGTACCTATTTTTGTTTGCATAAAGTTTGACATATTTTATTAAAAAAGACACTTCTGAATACGAAAAATTGTAGATGAGTGCCCAAGATTATCGGACAAAACGGTTGTTTGCAGTTTACATTTCCTGAAATCATGTTTTAAAGCATCTGAATCAGGAAGAAAATTGCTGAAACGTGATGCTATTCCCACGTTATTTATGGTAGTTTCCGTGTACAAATTTTGCCAAACCTACAAACAGTTTGTGCGAAATCGAGAAGTGCCTTTTGTAAAGTTTTACCAAATTTAGTAGTTTCGCTTCTATAAACTGATTCTGTATGTAACAGCTATTTTCACCCTGCTTCGATTGTGGATGAACTAAAGAAGCTGTCCAGACCTCTCATGAAAATAGCTTGTTTCAATGTCTGCTTCGCTAAAATAGAATTCGCACAGTGAAAGATAATATGCATTAACTGATGATCTGTATTTTAATAATTATCATCAACTACAATAACTGTAGACCAATGTAGAACATACGCTTTGGTTAGCAGAAGTTTCAAAAATCATTCTCTTTAGTGCGGCCAACCATTTTCTTTTTAAATAATTTTCCGAATTAGGAAAAGTAAATGTTAACGTCTTGATTCTATTCACCACATTCTGTCTCTCTAGAAGTAAGGGTACGTGTCCATTGGAGCGCAACTCTCACGAGAGTTCTGATTTTGATTTTATACCATCTTTAATCATAAGTTGTCATTTCAAATTTCAGAGGTCTATTATTACAATGAATTGAATTATTACGAAAAAAATACACGTAAAACATACTTATCGGAGATCATTTTCGAATTTCGAAATGCGTTCGTATTGTGGGAGTCGCTCACAAACTCGGAAAAACTAGGTAAAAACGATACCCTTACCCACGTTGAGGGCAGGCCCAACCATGGCTTTACGGGCTGATTTTGGAATTATTTCTCGCAAACGCCCTCTGAAGTACACATGTAGCTTAATGGTTTCATCTATTATAAATTTAAATCAAAATTTCCAGTGTTTCCTAATTCTTGTTAACCTATAAACTGACAGTTGATGGTCTAAAATTAATTGACGGTTAACGGGTAAGTGGCGCCAAAGTGGCGACATTTTGCGTTTTCTCAGAATCAAAAAAACAATGAAATTCAGGTCGATTGAGCAGGCCGTAGTTAATAGAGAAGGTCGTGTTTTAACAATGCTCATAAACATGAGAAAACACCTTTTTTATCGGCAATATCTTTACTGTAGGAATCTACACAAATGGTAAATGTCATTTACATAAGGACCCCGCAACATTGGTTAACGCGCGAATTTTAAAAAAATCGTTAATATTAGAGGTGGCAATTGCTACCCACAGGGCCGAAAGGGTTAAGGAGATGCAGTTTTAGGCCAGGCGCCTCCCACCACTTTCCGTCAGCAACGTCCGCTGTTAAACTACTGATATGTATGTTAAATCAGAGAACACAGAGAAGTGACATAGTTTAAATCAGGAGACGGTTGAGGACTCCTCGATTTATGTTGGCAGCAGTGTTTGGTTTCTTACTAGGAGTAAAATTAACTAGAAGAAACGTCATAAGATTTGTAACGACGCTTTTTACTTTCTACAAATTGACATTTCCAAAGAATGTTATGTTATTATTACACGTGTATATCACAAAAATTGTCTTGTTATAATCAAGTATGATGTTAAAATTTGTTAAAAATCGAAAGAACTTGGTTAAACGTGTAGAATTGGTGAAGGATTGGCGAATGAAACATGTGTTATTTTCAGAACAATTTATTAGAATCAACAGAGAGTGAATAGGTAAGGCACTGCTTTTACAAATTATCTAAAATTAAGCGTTTTCTTGTTCTTTCTAGGAAGCGACTTTTGCTCCCGGTTGTGGTATTTTAGCGTGTAAAATATCCGCAGTGTCACGAATAGCGTCGTTAAATACTCGTGAGGAAAATGTGGACATGGATGATCGAGAGTGGCCTGCAGCAAGTCACATTTGACAAAATACCCTACACGAGGTTTTGTTATATGTGCCGGGAAAGAAGTTGTGTAAATATTTTCCAGTTGGGATATGTAATGTATAAACTGTTGGTCAGGCATATTCAATTGACCAAAAGGTAAGCCTTCAGTGTCATAATTTTTAAAATAGCAAAACAATGTATCAGGAGCAAGTTCTCCACAGGCATTTGCAAATTGAAGACAAACCTCGCAACTATGTTTTCTTAAACATTTTTGTATTAAATATCCACAGATATATCGAAGGATATTTTGTTCACTGAGCTGCCAGTTTCTGTAATGAGTGCTATCTATTACCAATGGTTGTTGCTGCGGTGTAAATAAATTAACAATATCTGCTAAAGTAGGAGAACCTTTTACAACTTCAGGCACAGTGCTTAACACCATTGCCAAGTCAGCAGCACAATTACTAGCTGGATTATGCTGAAAGTATTTCATGCAGAACAGTTTGTTAAAGGCACGTTTAACTTGGACTGGCGTGGGGTTTTCTTATGGTGCCAAAAAAATTTTCTGTGATATCTTGATTAAATCGCCTGGCAATTAAAACCTTTCTGAAATTTTGTTGTGTGGCAATTATACTGCTGATTGTAACTTGCCAGCATCGCAGAGATTTAATTGTACGCGTTATATCTTTGTTGGTACTATTTATAACTTTCAATGTTTGAAAAAATGTAACCATTTGTTGTAAATGTTGAATTTGATATGAACTGCCATCAAATTGTTTTTTGAAAGATTCTCCTTCTATGTTTGTTTTTTGGCTAGAATTTAAAATATCAAATAGGTTATTAATATTTCTTATAAACTTAATCGTACTGACAGCTGCTTGTGGCAGTAAATTGATTGCTAGGTCGGTCTCTATTCCCGCAGCTACGGTGTGGCTGAATAATTGGGCTGCGAATTTCACCTTCATCTTGTCAAAAGGACCTGGCTTTATATGGGTTCGTGTTAATTTGGGTGCATAACGAAGAGCACGTGCATTGTCTTTCTCGAAAAAGAATTTTACATATTCAATCTATCAATTCACCATCAACAGTTACGAATTTATATTTCAGAAAGTTGTTCCGTAATGCCTTTAGCAGATGGCATGGATCAAAAAAATAATAAATTTTGGTATCATCGTCATTAACAAAAAAAATGGATTGTCAGGGCTGATATTAATTGAAGCTGCAAAGTTTAAAAAATTTGACCCCACGTCAGAAATGAAACCCCTAATTTTTAATCCTATAGCCCGTAATTTTTTGTTTGGGTTTCTGGGAGACGTGCAGTTGGAACTTGTGTGGAATGAGAGGAAATTGGAGGAACATCCTGCTGAAACGCAGCTAAACGTTCTGAAAGAGATTTGGAGCATTTATTATACTAAATTTATTAAATAGGAGTATTATTTATGTTTGACTCAATCATAACAATGTCATTTATCCCACTTGCAACTGTCCATAGTCTACCATTTTCTTGGTAAAATAATTTGGACTGCAACACAATTCATTCAACTGTGACAACGGCAGTGCGTACTACAAATTATTAACGATTTTAAAATAGAGGTGAAAAAGTTGCAAAATTTCTGGTGTTGAGTCAAACATAAAAGTGTGTATGTCACGCGTAAATAATGCTTTTTATTGAACTTATCTTTTTATTAGCCTCGTGAGCAAGTTCGCTCGGCCATAAAAGAGGGTGTCCAATAAAGCTATGCATTATTTACTTGTAACAGAAATAGCTATTATTAACATTCTTGTTATACATACATACTATTTGATTTGTAAGAAGGCACTGGACTCCACTCACCGACTCTTAGCAACCAATAATGGAAATTTTGGGTTTACTGCGTAACCCGTGAAATGTGAAGATAAAAACAATAATTGTGGTTTGTACAGACTAACGTTTTTTTTTTCATTTTCGCCTTCTGATGGGCTCAAAAATGTGGAGTGGCAAGTGCCATCTTAGAAATCAAAGTGTAGTATTGTAGTTTTACCTGTTAGTTGCTTAGTTGGTACTGCATCAAAGTGGAGACGGTTTTTTTGGGGATTTGCAAACATTTTATCCTCAAAATGTGTTGCACATATTCTGTAAGCTTCTCTATTGATATGTGGGTTACTGAGCAAATCTCTGCGCCCCACAGCAAGAGCCCAGCTTTGAAATCTGTAAAGAAATATTTGTTATTGTATGTCGGTTGCTATAAAACTGTTGTTATTTTGAAGGTGTTTCTATTTTATAGTTTTATGTTCTATCGCTTACCTACTGCTTTCACAAGGAAAGCGAAAAAAGCTATGGTTGCAGTTCTTCGTACTGTTGCGACACAGTCGAGCAGCACAATAACGGGGCTTACTTTTTCCACTTTGCGTATCACTCATTGTTTTTTAATTGTTTATTATAAAGTTAATAATTGTAACTATAAAACTGAATCACTAACACTACACACTAAATACTGTAACCTAAAACAAGCAACCAATAATTGCTATACTAATTGTAATACTGAAAATCAACAAAATTAATGATGCACTGAGACAACCGCAAGGGATGAACGCTGGTTAAAAAGTGAATATTGTTACGTTCTGTTATACGATGGAAGAAGTAAAACGCATTTAAGTGGTTCAAGAGCTTTATTTTCCATATTTCATGAATACAGTTTTATTTTTATATTTATTTAAGACATGTGAAGTGTTTGTTTGTTAGGCACATCTCAGTTGGTTCCTTCAACTTATTTAGCGTCGACACGACGCTGTAAAGACGTAGAAGGGCAACAGTGAAAAAGATTTAGATATTTCTGTTTACAATCATTTGTCTCGTCTTGAGAGCGGTGAAGTACCTACTCGACGTTCGTGTTGCTTAGTTCATTACTCCGTCGGTCCCAAATTGAGTGTCCGATATGGAAATAAAATTTTTTAAGTGGTTGTAGGTTTTTAACCCAAAGAATAATATTTTTATTATCAGCATTTTTAAGTGAATAGAACGCTCTCATAATAGATTTACTGGAATATTACAACCTGTAACGGTCCCAATAAATGCCCCGGGCGCCCACCAGAACAGCGCTCCGATCGCCACCCCCGTACAGACTCAAGTCTTATCATATCCCCCCTAAGCTTTACCGGCGCACAGGAATGCTCAGTGCAAACCCACCCCAATAAAGGGAGCTGCATCAAAGTTTTTCCCCAGAGTTGGATTCCCACTCTCAGCTAAAAAACATTAAGCCCTTGCAGCGAGTTGGATACCCACTCCTAGGTCTTATGTTTTTTTCTGCGATTAATACTCAAAGTCTTAGCCCATTTACTTCCCGCCGGGTTGATCCACGGACTCACTTCTTCTAAAGAGAGGGGTAATTGGCTGGACTGTTACGAGTACGGAATCTACGTGTACGAGTACGGAGTTTAAGTGTGCATTTACGACATTACCGTAGTATAGTTTCGCGACGGACTCATACCTGTGCGTGACGGACTGTTAACTGTGCGCGACGGACTTTTACCTGTGCGTGACGGACTCATACCCGTGCGCGACGGACTGTTACCTGTGCGCGACAGACTGTTACCTGTGTGCTGACGGACTCATACCCGTGCGCGACGGACTGTTACCTGTGCGCGACAGACTTTTACCTGTGTGCTGATGGACTCATACCCATGCGCGACGGACTGTTACCTGTGCGCGGCAGACTTTGCCCTGTGTGCTGACGAACTCATCCCCGTGCGCGACGGACTCTACCTGGGCGGTTAAATTAAGTGTCTCTGTTTGGACTATATTGTACTAGTAGGCTTATTATACCACCATCTGTATATATTTAAGTAATAATAAACATTTGTTACAACCGTTACAAGTGTCGCCCAACGTTCAGCTCGAAACTACGACCGCGAACCGCGAAGTGAACCCGGCATATGGTATTAAAAAAGCCACTAGTGACTAGCTCCATACAGACAAGAAGTATGGCCATTACAGCAGACCAGCTACAACAGCTGATTGAGAAACTGAAGCCAGCAGAGACAATTAAACATTTTACTCACTGTCCGGCACGTTTCGATGGCACACGCACTAAGGAGGCGGTAGAGGATTTTTTGGCAACCGCCAATTTCTACAAAGTTACTGAAAAGATAACGGACGAAAATGCACTCCTTGGAATTCCATTACTCCTCCAAGGTACGGCGTATACCTGGTGGACAGGAGTAAAAGCCGGCATAAATACGTGGGAT